TACACCCCCTCCCTGCCCCCCCCTTTCTTTCTTACGCTTTCGGTCGTTTCTTGGGCTTTCTCTCAGGCTTTTTAGGTTGTTCTTGAGGCTCGTTTCCCTGCCCCAGTCAAGGGCTAAGTATTCACCTTTTTCTACACCTATCTTTCTCTCTTGCCCTCTTAGCGCTGCTCTTTCTGTGTTTCTTTCTTTTGTTTCTAAGGCTTTTTAGGTGCCTATTCAGGTCGATCGCACGAGCGCCGCAAAGCGGCACCGTGTGTGTGTCACCCCTGTACCTAAGGGTTCCGATGTTTCCAAGCAGGGGGCCGGAGCCAGGTGGGGGGTCTCCGGCCAATGAAGACGCCCCCCACCTGGGTGAAAACGTACCTGTGTTTTTCCAATTTAATTGTTTAATCAAGCTCTAAAGTGCTAATGCAAGATGAAGACAATGTTGAAGCATCTCCAATTTTCCGGACTCCATCGCCTTGCCGTTCTGCATTTTTGAGTCAAGGTCTAGTTGCACTAAAGGGAAACTTTTGTTAAACTATACTGTTCTCGCTTGCGCCTTTCTGTTCCCTCACCTTCCTTCTCAACGTGGGAACTGAGTTAACTGCAAACCAATGTCAGAGTGTGTGAGTTCCCGAAGAAAACAAGAATCATTGAGCGCCGGGCGGACATCCCAAAGCCGCACCACGCCCTCGTAATCCAGACCTGGGTGCGGTGCACATCACAGCTCCTGAATAGATTGAAAGTCATAAAGGCCATAGGGTGCGGATCTATTTGAAAAGAAACTGTTATAATATAGTATATATATAACAACTACATCACACAACTTGGACTCGGGAGAACTGTTGCCACTGGGCCGGTATCCTTACGTGTCATGTGTCGTTGTCACTGGGCGCCGCGACTCATGAATTCGAAGTCCGTCTCTGGCATCTTGCACAAGCCGGTGATGCTACACTCATGGCCAGTCCTGCATGACGGATCCACTGTACTCTGGTGGGTGCACCGCTCAAGCACGGCTGAGGATTCGATGGGACCCGACATGATGAGCAACATGGACCGGGAACATAGGGCCATGTTGCCTACTTGGGAAGTCCCATCCCCTGATTCTCTGCTTCTGGCTATAGGTCCAAAGCCCAATGGAGACTGTAGGCATGTGCGTGCGAGACATCCCTACCTCCCTGCAAAAACTAATAACTAATAACCAACACAGCCCTGAGCAGTTGTTGTCTTTGAGATGAGCTGAGGGGTTTTGGACAAATCCTGCTTGAGCCTCAAAGTCGGCACTTGACTTTGATGATTGTCTCCCATGAACGTCTTGAGAAATCAAAGTCAAAACCCATAAATGGCACAAGTCCATCCAGAAAGCAAACCAACAAACTCTATGGACCCTCTATCCACAGCCTGGCACCCCAGCAAAAACACATACTTCAACAGCTTTCATCACCATGTCTTCTTCTATTTGAAACCTCCGAACGCTGTTTTCCTGGACGATTCAGGGAGACCGAAAGCCCACCGTTTCAGTGGAACGCCGCACTCCGCAGGGTTCCGCGAGGCCGGTTTGACCGAGGCCCCAGGCAGTTTGAATGAAAGCGTTCCAGCCTAGGCGACGTGGAAAGAAACGAATGAGCGACGTGATAGTCGTCGTCTTTCCAGAGTTGCATCAGAATCCAGCCCAGATCTTGGATCAATATGATCAATGTCCAAGCGCGCCCGCAGTCTGGCCAGTTCCTGCCCCAGTTAGAAAATCTGAAACGAATCTTCAGTTTTGGGTCCCTTTGAGATCAAAACTGGAAGCTGATCAGATTTACTTCAATTCTTCCATGTTTGTTGTAGTATTAGAGCCTGTATCTCCTTGCAAAGCCTCTTCAGAGGCCATTTTTGGGCTGCGCTTCCAAATGACACAAACTGCAGCAGTCAGTCAGTAGATTCACCAATGGCAACAGTCACCGCCGTTGAACGCCGCCTCCCCTACCCCTCGCTTCGGGGTGGCTGGGTCTCCAGGCCGAGGGGTCCCAAATACAAATATAATTATCGAAGCCGGCGCTCAAGAGCATCTGATTCTTGGCACAGAATTCCAAGCAGGTGACACCTCAGAAGTGAGAGGGAAACGAAACGGGGCGACGGAGGTTGGGGCACCCCCAAAGCAGCCCTGGTCCCCTGTGTGCAGAATGTGAATATACATGTAAAAACATATGTTTGTTTTCGGCATATTGGCTAGTGTCTTGCATGTTAAATATACGTTAAAATAAATATTGATAAATTGTTGTTGAAACATCTAAGGGGCAAGTTGCACGCTAGGAGCCTCGTCATTTACACGATGACAACCTATATAATCAAAAAAGGTACAGTCCAGTACTACAGTACGCCCGCCTTTAAAAAAGGAAGTGCAAAAAGGACTGTTCAATCGCTGCAATGCTCCAGCCTTTTCTTCAAAGGTAAACTTATAGGTATTCTTTTTCGGGGCCCAGGAAACAGGATTGCTCTTCCACCGTTTTGAGGGGGGCAACATCATTCAAGCTCTTTCCGCACATCATTCTGCACTGTTTTCGCACCTGTCCTCGAAAACGCTGGTACCGAGTTGGTCACAGCAAACTCATGGCACATCCCCTTCTCGGCGATACATGTTCTCGGACGCGAGAACGGAGTATCGTGTGCGTGAAATGTGGACAGAAAAGGGAAGATGTGGTCAATGTGGTCTGTATCAAATACAAATTCCCTAAAATATGTTTACACATTCTGTTGTGTCCTTTACGGCCAGCGCGTGGCCCTGCCTTTGACGGCTTCAAGCAACTAGGGCAAGATGGAGGGAGTTGAAGGAGATGGAGGGTGTGTGGTTCAACACAAAACCCTTTCAAAACCCTTTCTTCTGACTTGTATACCCATGTATACCCTATTCTTAACCACTGAAAAACGTGCGTGGTTGCCTTGTTCACATCCGGCTGCATGGTTCACACTCTCACACCGCTTCATTCAGCGCTTCTTGGTGTAGAGCTTCTCCCGGAACCTGGGAGAAGCTCGTGGCCGTTTGTGGTCTGACAACGGCCACAGTAGCTGCCAGCTTGCCTCTCCGAATTACACCGCAACCTCCAAACCAACCGCGTTCACTGGTTTGCCTTCAACTCTGCAACCAAAACACAACCCAATGTCGCCGGTGGTTTGACTCGGCCTCCTAACCAAAGATGGCCAAAGCAAACATAAGTAGCACGTATTATGTATAATATATATATATATATGATGTTTGCATACTATGGTTTTGGAGAAACTGTACCCAACCCTGTCAAGCCAACCTTTGGTCAAGGAAACTTGTTGTTAGTTTGTTGGCTTTCCATGCCTATACATGCCTATACTAGTTTTTGGGAGAGTATCAGCCGTTCCAACAAGCATGGACACCAAACTCTGGTGTGGTTTCTGCAAAGGGTATCAAGTGAATCTAAGTCAACTACTGTATCTCTAGAATTGTTGCAGCTACTGTCGACTTCTCAAATAAATGATGGACCGTCCATGTAGGCTACCTTTAAACTTATAGCTAATCTGCAACACCGTTCTTAACCACTTGACCACCTTTCGGTAAGAATCATGTGGGCCAATCCTGATTAAGACCCAAGGGCTCCCGATGTCCTACATGCTTCAGTTGCTGAAAAATGTCCTACATGTTTCAGTTGATGAACTATAGGGCCTATAGGGTCCTTTGCCCTGAAAAGAGGGGGGGGAACTTGGGTCTTGGTCACAAACATCGCCAACCTGGTTTGACTTGGAGAAGTTACAGAAAGACCCCCCGAAGTGCTCCATCCGAGGATCCAAACAAAGCTGCACTGCGTGTGCACATGATGCACCCTGTGTCCAAACGAAGACAGACCATTCTTGCTTGCAAGGTGCCACTTCTCCTCCAGACTGGCGATCTGCCACTCGCCCATCTCTTCCTCACTGATCCGCTGCTCAAAGCGCCACCTGCGTGAGTGAATCCTTGAGACTGTCAGTGTGCAAAGCATATCGGTTAGGATGGTTTAGGACACAACAAAGGACACGAAACAACAATGTACCACTCCAAAGAACAAACATCAAAGTGAACTAGCTGCCGTATGTGTTTGGTGATCGCCGTATGTGTTTGGTTGCCGAAAGGAAATACCCCAACAAAGGTATGATAGGCACTGCCGGGAAGAACGTCATCTGGAAGGGTCCCATCGAGCTGTGCCAACGTGTGAGCCAACTGAATCATCGGATAATAGCTTGGTCTTTGTAGAGGTATACAAGGACATGGACAACATATATGTTTGTCTCTCAAAAACCAGCAAACCAACAATCTATGAATGCTTCCGTTGGACACGTGCACCCACAAAACACCGCTAGACACCGGGCTTCGTTTGGGGCGGCACCCCTCACCCCGCCTCAATAGACGGATGGTCCAGCGAGGTTCGTCCTCCTCGTACCAATACTCTTCGTGCACCTCATGCAAAGGGGAGTGTGATGGAGTGTGGTCGGGTTATTTTCAGCAGGGATATGAGTGTCTACACGATCCATGGAGGAGGCGAGGATAATCAATTGAGAGCGCTCTGAAAACACACGGGTTGATAATGATATGTCAGGGCGGCTTGAGGGAGCTGAGCTTTGCTGTGTGTTCCACTCTTCAGTGGGGTGGTCAAGCCGATGGAAACGCGCCGATGAGGCCTAACATTGGAATCAAACAGTACTTACTCTGAAACTTTCAAGGGGAAGAAACACGGAAAGCAATGACTGACGCACAATCCTCAACAACAAGCAATCATAAGTCACAAGCAGTCGAGAATATCCCCGCGATCAGCCCTACTCATGCCGAACAATCCAGTCAACATTCTACAGGTCGAACATCTATAGCCTTACTGGTTCCTGTATATAGTCGTCTGGGTGTTCAATGCCTGCGGTGGAATCGTCGGGAAACCCCGAACTCACCCAGGCAACCTCATTCAACAAATGTTTTGGTGCTCAAGCAACCTTGGAGTATGCAAAAACCATCAAACATCCTGACCAAAGACCAAGTCAAGCAACCATGTACGGGTGTGAACCCCACCATTTCCCGACAAAAACCTTTCAAATCCATCACCTGGATCTATTCTGGCAAAATGCTTGGGGTCTAACCACCAAAGCAGGATCCTGCCGCTCACAGCGCTTGACCGCTGGCGCTCGCAGTCCCATGGGTGCCGACCTTCACCAAAGGCGTCAGCTGGATGACTGAGACTCCGGAGTTGTCGGCCTCCTGTTGACCAGGTGGTGCAGGTGAGGGGTGCCACCAGGTACACCGCTGGGGGAAAAGCAACATCATACACAGCCGTTGAAACAACAAGGGCACACACACCACACACAACATACTAATTATATAACACATCCAAAAATAAACAACTCGATCGTGTGCTGTTGGATCAAAACTAACACAAGAAAGGCCCAAACCAAACCACCAAAAAACATGGTTGATGAATATGGGGTCCAAGTCTTGTTGCGATATGTATTTGTACATCATATAGTATATGAAAGATAACACATCATCAGGGTAATTTGAAGCTCTTTGACTGACTGGTGCTTGGTAAGGAATCAGGGAATGATAGGGAATGGATCTAAAGGTATCTACAGTGGAGGGGTCATTCATCCCCCTGTACATAACGGGGTGACGTTGGTCCCCCCATTCTATAGCTATAAAAGTGGGGACGCGGAGTTTGGTGTTACAAAATGCCAGGACCTGGAAAAAAAAACACTATAGAATGAAGGTACCTCTAGTGATGACAGCCACTAGGAGTCTGTTTCAAGTCAAGCTGAAAATGCTCTAGAAAATGCCTGGCCCGACCCTCAACCTCTCAAAACCAAAAACATACAAAACACTGAAAAACATTTTGTAGTGCACTCGTCTTGGATCATGAAAATATGATATAGGGTCAGCTGAGGGTCGTGTGACAACATTTTGTAGTAGCATCACTCTGGATTCTTGTATTTTTGAATCTGTGTGAGCTGAGGGTCGTGAACTGGCATCTTATAGAGGGTTGAGGTCGGGCATGGGCATCTTATATAAAGTTCACCTCTGCATACTCGTTGAAATAAAACATATTATGTGAGGTATTATTATGTTAGGTCGGGTGAGGTCGCTATAATTCGGCCAGATACTCTTGCTATCTCTTGCAGTCCCTTGCTCCTTTTCAGACCTGCATCTGCGATCATCTGTCTCTTCATGCGTCGACGATTTGCAGCTCACCTTTCAGCTGCCTAAAGATCATCCAATCCGTTCTTCAGATTGGCTTCCCCTTATCCCTGCTCATGTGAAACTCCGCAATGTCCTTCACAAGCCGCAAAAGCGCGCCACGCTGAGGGGGCGTGTCTCTCAGCTGACGCTCTATTCCACCAAGAAGCTTGTGCACAGTCTTTCCATAGAGCGTTGGGCTGTGAACGCTGCTATACCTGAGATGATATAGAGGTGCCCAAAAACAAAATAAATAAAACCAAATATATATATATACATAGAAATATATACAAATAATACATTATGCGCTATAACAGTGGTGACCAGAAGATACTAGAAGTTTGGCGCTACAAAATCAAGGACCCCAAGGAAAACCACTACAAAATGACAGTGTCCCGAATGATGCCACCTAGAAAATCCTAGAAAGAAGAAAAGATAAATAGGAATAGGATGTCAAAATATGTCAAAGCATGTCAAAGGAATCCAAGGGACAAGGCTTCTAGGCACTGTGGGCAAACCTCTGCGATCTGCTGAAGGGTCAAGCACTGGGCGCTCTCATGCTTCATCCGGCACTTGCCATCAAGCCCAAACAGAGGGGAGTTTGGGAACGCCTCCGTGTCCAAATAGCAAAGCCGCTGCACCTTTCGTGAGATCGCTTTCCGGCCTTTTGCGCTACGTCTGTAGCTGTTTTCATCCAAATCCTCATCCAAAGCAGCCAGAGTGTCTGAGACTTTTGGTGCCTTGGACGCTTCCTGTGGATCAATAGCCCCTTTCCGCTTGACTCCATGACCATCAGCAGCATCCGCGCCTTGTGGATCACCCTGTGGATCATCAGTCTGTTTCCTCTTCCTCCCGCGAAGACGTGGCTGAGGTTTCTTTTTGTTTGTCTCCAAGGTGTCACTTGCCTTCTTCCGCCCCCTGGTCATTGTGGGGTGGACAAGCCATGTCTCTATGTCGTCAAGCTTGTCCAAGGCGTCAATCGACCGATGCGAAAGCACGACCTCGAAGCTCTCCATGCCCACTGGTTTGCCTGAGCACTGGTTCAAACCAGGAACACACAAAAGATTTCAGAATCATCAGAAAACACATGAAAACACCAACACCATCCTCAGCCTCTCCCACTATAAAATGATAGGGTCCAAGATCTAGGCCTATAAAATGGCGAGGTTCCAGGACTACCTCTGCAAAATACATGGTCTTCCTCTAGTTTTTGGCCCACTGAAGCCAGGCAACTTTCCTCGCAGTCAAGGATGGCAACCAAAGCCTCAACCCTCACGACAAAGGCAACACTGGTTCCGTTGCAGGCCCATGTCTTCGGAGCGGTAGCCTTCTCAAGCACCACAACCCGAAAAGCGCTGCAAGAATCTATTGGCGTCTCTCCACTGACCATCTTTGGAGCCTTGACCCCCTTCCAGACACTCATGACCATCCCAATGCCAAGAGTGCCCTTGCTGTTGGGCTGATGGTAAAGAACGATGTTGCCAGGCCTGGAAGTCAATTCTTGACTATTCTTAATCTCTTGATAATTCTCATACAATATCATACATGACTGCTTCTTCGCATTCCATAAACCTGAAATATTATGACATCTTCTGAAATTCAAACTGCTAAGCCCGAAACATAATCCGCTCAGGTGGACTGATGGGAAGCTCAAGATCGCTTTGAGCTTGTGTTACCAGCTCTCGCCACTTTGTCAGGCGGCTTGCTCGACTTCGAAACTGGGGATCTTGCAACTCCGCATTCAGCATAGCAATCATTCGATCATTGTACCTGACAAGAAATAGCAACAAGAGGCACACTACAAAATAGCGACGCCGTCAAGGAGTACTACAAAATGGGCATGCCTCCTCGCAACTGCTATTTAATGCACGGGTGTCTAAATTTCAACGTGTACATCCAGCAATGACCGGCTAAACAAAATACATCAAAATACCAAAACATATCAAAAGCATACAAAAGCAATGAACATCTTGGAGCTGTGTTGCTGATGCCAGTTCATCTTTTTGGAAGCCCGGCGACTGTTCATCGGATTTTTGATGAACATCCGGTCACATGCCCCCGAAGTGCATCTCAAGCGGACAGCCCATTTGAAGAACCAGTTCCAACGGTTTCCTGGCGAGGTCAACGCTTCCAACAAGGAGGATGGTAGCTGATTTGCTGGCATATCTGGCTTGGAGTTTCTGGAAGGGGAACAGAAGCTCTCGGTAGCAAAGGGCTCAGCAACGCTCGCCAAATGCATCAAATGCTTCAAAAGATCGTTGTCCGGACAGGCACCAAAGTGTGGATCCTCCCCACCTGCGTCCTCGGAGTTCTGCACCTCCTCCGTGTTCGGCTCGGCCGGTGCTTCGTCAAAGGTGCTGCAAGTGAACTTTGCGTCTGCCTCCAAATGCGACAAGAACTGCAGGCAGTTCATAGGTTTTCCATGCCCTTGGTCAGGCTCCTGTCCCTCTTCGCCCTGCTCGTCGCACATGTTCTCTTCTTCCACGTCAACTTTCGCACAGCCAGGGTTCTTGCACCAGGCGTTGTAGTCCTGCTCCAGAAAGGCCTCGTTGATGTTACTGCAAAAGGATACCAGCTGCAATGCGCCCCTCAAGGCGTTGGCACAGCACTGCCTGAACCTCAGACAACATCTACTAATCAATGGCCATGGAGAGATATGGAAAGATGAAGAACGATTGATTGGTCTCTCTATGTCTCGCTACAGAATGACAGCGCTGACTCAACCGTACTACAAAAAGATGGGCTCTCTAAGATCTCTAACACTGAGTTCTCAGAGTGAAAACGCTGTGCATAGATACAACAGCACCACAAAGATATCAGAGGCTGTATGTGGCTGTGGATTCCAAAGACACCCCCACCTTCACAAACAAAACAAATCTGTTGGGGGCAACAAAGGGGCAACGCATGGCAATGCTTTTTATAGTGATTTTGAATGCGCCCATTCATTTTGTAGTGATTGTTTTTGGTTCTGGAATGTTCTGGAGGATTCTGGAGGATTTCTGGCTACAACCACAGCCCAAACTCATGGAACATGATGGAAATCAAGTGGCTCATCCGGTGTCAAAGCTGGCTCCGGCTTCTGTGACGGAAGCGCAGTCTTCCTCAAGACCTTGTTCACCTTGAGAGCTTGCCTGCAATCTGCCTGAAAAAAGCCCCTGGCCGTCATCTGGGAGTTTGAAAATTGACTGCGTAGGTATCCGAACTGATGTTCAATGGGCATCTCACTTAAACGCCCAATTGAAAATCTCCATGGATTGAAATCCTCACTCTTTGTCAGGCATATCAACGCAGCACTGAGAGCACAATACTGTAGGTTGCTGCAAGTCTGGCCAGACATGAAGCAGCTGCCTTTTGGTAATTTGAGCTGCTGACACTTCTGCTCTGCAACCATCCAAAATAGGTCCATTGAGACAAAGCCGCTGAGGGCGATTTCGCATCGTTCTTGAAGCTTGAGGCGCTGGTTCAACATCGGAGCTACGCACATAGCGACAACCATGTTGTGGACTAAGGCGCCACGAAGACTCCACGGTATCTGCATGTCGTCTAAAGAAAAAGACTCCTCCTTGACGTCTTTGTTTGACAACAATGTTTAAAAAGGGTCGATAACAGATAGTAAAAGATTGTAAATGTCCGCAACAATCCACAACATATTTACTACAAAATGCATGGACACAACCTGTTTCATTACTACAAATACATGGACTACTACAATGTTGCTACAAAATGCCAGTGTCTGTGGGATATACAATATGTAAACAAAATTGGTACAAAAGATTACAAAAGGATGCAAAAGGTTCTTGAAAAAATAAACAAGGGGCGACCTCTTTGACTAAATAAAATGGGTTCATGAGGATGGCCTGGAGAGAGTCGCTCATCGGGTTTGACCGCCCGAAGGCGGCCGGCGGCAACCCGTGCTCGCGGGCGGCAACCATGTCGCAGAAGTAGTCTCCGTATAGGAGCGTACGGAGGCAGGAGGACAGTTGTCCCCCCGTGTTCTTATTGGCGTGGCCTGGTGAACGACACAAGCCGGAGCGCCCGCAATCACAAAACGAATCAAAACAACTAACCAAATCAAAGAGACAATAGCAACCACATGCCACCACTACTCCACAATCACCTACACTTGTGCATACTAGGCACAAACTCCACCAAGGCCCCAAATGCATTCTCCATCGCGCCCTTGCCTGGCGATCCTCATGGGAAAATGTGGGAGGCAGTTCACTGGCACAGGCTCATACACAAGGTCTTTGAAGAAGGGTATCTCCCTTACCTCGTCCATGTCGATGTCATCTGTCTGTCCGTGCAGCAGCTTGCGGATGTAGACATGGCAGGTATGCCCATCAAAAACCAATGCTTTCACTGTGCCCTGGCTTTGCTCCATGAACTTCCCGCAGATCTCAAGCAAGAGCCACTTTCCACGGACAGCTCCCTTCATGGTCTGGCGGGAATGCTCAACTGGCATTGAACATAGGCTGAGCGGAGTCTTTTTTGGTGAGCTTGGGCACCATCCCAGAAAATGCAACATTGTGGAAGCCTTTGGCGTTCCCTTCACGTCGATGTCTCCCTTGTCGAGCGGCAAAAAGCAGCTGCTTGAGCTTGCTGGAAGCCAAGCACCCCCGACCAGCCCGACACGGCCACCGATCTTCATTTGGCATAGGGTTCTTGTCAAGTAGGTCTCGTCAAATGCAACCACTAGGCGACCTGATCAGGCATATTTAGCCCAAATGCTGAGAACAACATTTAAAGAAAATAAAATGTTTTCTATTGTTTTCTTATAGGTAGCATCTCGTTGATTATTTTGATCTGGCACCATGCATTTTGTAGTGTTCGGGGTTGGTGTCATATATTTTGTAGTGATTGTGGCTGGGCCCATGTAATTTGTAGACCAAATATTTCTATTAATATGTTTAAAGAAAGTAATATCCAAGTATATCCAAGTCACATCTGCTGGATCCGGGGTGTTGCCTGAAGCGCTGGTTGGCCACAATGAAGTTCTCCTTCAGCCAATTTGCATCCCACAAAGCCAGCGCTGGTGTGGGCAAGGAATTCTCCTCAAGGATGTCCAAAGAAACTCTCACAGATTGCAGGTTCATTCCAAATTCCCTTAGCAGAGATGAGTTCCCAGATGTTATTGCTAGCTGCATGCCAGCTTCAGCAATGAGAGTCTGCTCGCGCTCTGTCTCGTGGCTGTTCTTTCTTCCACACATAGAAGTGATTCCACGTTTCTCTCTTTGGAGTTTCTTCTGGCATTGTAGCGCCAGCCCCAATATCATTGGATGCTCGTCCAAATCCCCGCTGATCGCAGCGACTGCAACCTTCAGCGCAGCTGTATCAAGATCGCTGAAATTTCCTGCGCTGATGCATGCACTGAACTGTGCAATGGTGCTCGCGAGACGATCTGAAACAGAGGCTACATTGACTCGCAGAGATGGAGTGACCACTGTTGAAATAAATTGCTTCATAGCATCTGTTCTTGTATGCTCTGAGCAAATGCTTGCCCGCACAAATTGTTGCAGGTTGTCTGCACGCATCCTCAGGATGTTGTCCATTTTCTTCTGGTCTTTTTGATACAGCCCACTCTGCTGGATCTCTAGCTCCACTGCATTCTGGTCCGCCTTGGGCAAGAACAAGCGTGCCGACAATAAACAAGCCGCGTAGTACTTCACTCCAAATCTTGCCACATTCCTGGGCACAGCGTGACTGTCTGTCAGTGCGAAACATGCATCACATACAGGCCGCACTGCATCGCCCAAAGGCTTGCAGCGTCCTTTGCATGAAGCCGATGTAATGTACCAGACGTCTCCTTCCTCGCTGTTGGCTTCTCTCCGATACTTATGCTTTGCATGGGCTTCGAAGTTCGTGAATTGGCTCCAAAGGCTGAATTCCTGCCTGAGTGCATACAAATGTCCACTGCGAGGATCTTTCACTGAAATCCCAGCACAAGGAACTAGGTCCTCTTCCGAGGCTTTCTTCTTTGCTGCCAGTTGGCGCTGATGGGTCACGGAATTCATGTGTTGCTCCAGAAAATGCTTCACCGCATATGGCTTCGCTGCATGGAGTTCACCAATTTTTCCTTGTGGATAGTTCTTGCTGGTGCAAATTCTGCATCGGTACCCAAACTTCTTGCCGTAGTCTCCGGGCTGGAGCAGCTCGATGTCAGGGGCGAATTGCCTCACGTAAGCAAATGCATCTGCTTGTTCTTCTTTGCTTGCAGGATCGGTGGCCTCCTTTTCATTGGCGTCGTCAGCCTTGGCGGCCTTTGCTTCTGTCTCCTTGCCATCAGGTTCAGCATTGCTCTGGGGACCATTCTCCTCGAGACGGGCAATGAATCTGCTCAGGTCTTCGGGTTGGAAGCCACAAACAGAAAGAAGCTCTGAGCACGCAGGGCACTGGATTTTCCCATCCTCTAGAATCTTGGTTTGCAAAGCAACGAAGCCACCATCACTGCACTGATTGCATTTCTTCATAGGTGCAAACCTGCGTCTACAAAATGAAGGACATCACAATCTATCACTACAAACTGGTGGGTGTCCTGAAGCTCTGACTACAAAATGCAGAGGCCCCATCTAATATCACCTAATTATATTAATGTTTTTAAATGAATATAAATGAATATATACTTTTTTATACTTTTTTAAAAACAATCACGCCTGGTGTGGATTTTCTGGAACGCTGGCCACGTAACACCGATGCTCCCCAAGAAGTCACGCACTGTCTTCATCCGCTGCTCACGTGTGCTCCGTGGCTTCTTTCTGCACAATCGTTTGTGTGCTTTTCGGTTCAGTCGTGGAGGTGACAGCTCATCCACAAGCTCCTAGACAAACGGTTTCAAAGGTGGCCTAGGAACCCTCTTGAAGACTCTTGAAGAGGATTCCCAGGCCACCTTTCAAAAATAGAAAAACACACACAGTCTATGTTGCATAGGCCATAGAAATGCTTTTTTGAAACGCAGCTCCTGACCAGCTGTTTCATCAGTGTTCAAAGCCACCAACACACCATCGGGCGCATCACGCTTGCCCCTCTGGATCTCCGCGTGGGCTTGCATGAACATGTGTGTAGGTCTCTCAGGAGGTTTTGCAAACACGGCTGGACGGTACTGCTGATCATCGCAATTGGCTGCTGTCTTTGGCGGCGTCGCCAACGGGGGTTCCAATTCCAAGTCGTTTGGAGTATCTTTCTTGGAAGCTTTCTTGGGGGTCAGGCAAGCATGGTTGGCCTTCTCATCCAAGTGCTTGTGAGAAGGTCCCGCTGGAGGATCTTCCTGCGGTTCCGTTTTGATTGCACTGGCCATGGTCTCCGGCAAGGTCAGTTGATTAAACAGAAACTGCCAGAGTGGTGATGACGATTGTTCCTGCAAAGTGTCTCCAAGGACCTTGGTGGAAAGGTGGGGAACCGGGAACCAGAATACCCCAGGACTCAGGACTCTAACACTACAAAATGGTAGGTTATCTGCCAGAGCACTACAAAATGTAGTGGGCCCTGCTCAATGGAATGTGTTTTGGGATAAGATAGGGACCGAAAGAACGACAAACCACCTAGCAAGCCTTGGATGATCCTGGTACTGCAGTGCTTTAGTTGCAAGTTGTGAATCTACTTGGTCAGTCCAAGTATCCATTCGTAAAGACCGCATCTTGTTCATCAGCATCTCATCTCCAGTCAGGTCTCTGGGCTCGTCCAGAAAACTTGGACCCGTATCCTGCAACTTCAAAATACTCCAAAGTCCGCAATTTCCGTCTCCTGGAACCTGCTCGGGAATCAAATCCAAAGAGTGGAGGGCAGCAAAACATTTCTCTTCTGCTTCTGCTAGCTCCATATCGTGCATTGCATTTTCCAAGACAGCTTGGATATGCTCATCTTCTTGTTCTCCTTCATCCTCAAGTGTCTCCGTGCAATCAACCATGACAGCCTGTATTTTGACCTTCTTGGAAATCATGCTGTGTTCGTACGTCTTTAGGCCAAGCTGAAAAGCAGCATCGCCCAATTGGGAACGGTGCCAGCAAGGAATCCAATGATTGAGCTCGCTTGCTTTCTTGGCTACCTGGCAATCGTAACGTGTCAAAAGCACATACCACAGGTTGGACGGATCTGACGCTTGGTCGTCAGTGATGCAGATATCTCCAGGCAAAAGACCTGAGAGAACCTGCAAAGAATCTTCTACTTCAAGCGAATCCACGTTGGCAACAAACATAAGCTTCTTGTCCAGACAGTTTGCAAGCAAAACCATGTCCAGAAAGCTGGTGTAGAAGCCGTCACGCCGGGCATTCTGGGCATAAGCACACATAGCCGCACATACCTGATCGCTACACTCAAGTCCAAGCTCATCTTCCCGGAGGTCTGTCAGGGTTCAAACATGTTCAAACATGGTTCAAAAAAGAAACCATGTGCTACAAAATGATCTGCACCATGCCCACTGCTACAACAAGCGCTGTCTCCTGTTCCTTGAGGCGTTTGTGATTCTTGTCCACATCTCTTCTCAGGACATGGTTCTTGCTTTTCCTTTTTCAGCACCTGGACACCCACAAGAAAATCTAGCAAAGAATCACAAAACCATGGCAGCACAGCTGGGCCCGGAAAAGCCATCCTCACTACATATTGACATTACACGAAGAGCCTCACTACAAAATGATAGGATATTGACAAACGGAGTTGTCTACTGGTATTTCCCTAGACATCCCCAAACATCCCTGGAAACTGCCAAATCCATGAGCATCCAT